CATTAAATAAACCAGATAATTTGCAGATATTTCTTTTTTCGAGTCATTTTTGTTGAGTTAAAGTTTAGTAATTTTGAGATTTCCCTACGTAAATTCGGTCAAGGATCAGGATATCACCGTGGAATATTTGGCCAAGATAATGTGCTACCCAGTGTTTTCTGTAACCCTTTTGGTTTGTCGATAGAGTGAGTACATAGGTCGAGTTGAAATGCTTGCGCTCCCTTGAGCGAGAGTGTTAGGGCTTTCAGTTGGAAGGCCGTGGAGACGATTGCCCAGTCGTCGAAACGGATCGCCATTGGGCTTTTAGTTTAGTTAAGTTTGCGTTTGAGTTTTCGTTGGTAAAGTCCTGATTCCTCTCCGGAGAGTGCCCTCTGTAGATAAGCTACCTTATTCTGATCGTAGATGGAGTGAAGATCCGCTCAGCCATCTCAGTTTCACGTTGAGTTCAAGTAATTTCAGTTTTGTTCAGTTGAAATAATCAGAATCAATTCTAGGAAAATTTAAATTTTAATCTTTAAATATTTCGCGCACAATTACCCCGGGAATCGATAGTTCGCATCTCCGGCACTCGAGTCAGCACCGTACGGGGCTAGTCTCCCCCAGACTCCCCACCACTATGCAACAGGCCCGAGCGGACACACGCGATAGTCGCCATTAGAGTATCCACCCGGACGACTAAGAGTAAGGTACGAGTCGATTTAGCTCCCTGAACAAGTTCTCTTTCGAGGTAATTATCGAGGCCCCGTGATCCAAATCCAGTCGAAATCAACGCTCCAGACGATGGTAAGTACTCGTGTACTTATTTAGAGGTGATTAACAGTGAATTAGTGCGTTTTCCGGTAAAGCAGTTGGACCACGCGGAATGGCGTCGCTACCTCTCGGAATGACGCCGACACCGATACTCATCGTTTGAGGGGCAGAAAACTCTTCAAACAAACCCAAATGCTCCCTGGAAGCTACCTGAAATTATTTAAATGATAATTACGCTACCTGAATAAATTCAAATAGTAATAATGCTACCTACCGTAACTTTGGGCTAAATTTCATGATTTATGCGTCTCGCTACGGCGATTGATGCAACTCGCTACCTGCTTCATTGCTACCTTTTTGCTTGCTACCTTTTCTCGCTCTCTTTACGTAATTATTCTATGCTACCTATTTCTTTATATTTCTCCGACTCACAAGAGTTCTGGAGGAAAAATGATGCTACTTGAATTGTTCTGAAGCTACCTTTTTCGTGTTTTAATGCTCTCTAGCGTTCGTTGAGTTTTGGATTCCAGTTGGGCCTGGGGACGCTATCTTTTAGTTATCTTTAGGGGAGGGTGGGGCAAAACGTCCCCCCTTCAATTGTCAATAACTTGTGAATGACATTATGAAAATTCCCAA